ATATGGCCGCAGGCGAGTTAAACGGAATTGCTAGGAACGCTTGTCGACGATCGTATCATAATATCTCCATCGTTTATTCCTCTTTTTTTTCTCTTTTTCGAGTAAACATGCCCGCTATTTCACTTTACGCTTTATGCAGATCCTTTTCGGTTCGTTTTACGATCCGAGGAATTGCAGAATTTTCTCTCTCTTTCTCTTTTTTTTTTTCTTTTTTTCTTTCCTTCGAGAATTGGAAATTTGGTATTGGACGGGGATGAGGTATGCGGCGAATCGAGGAGTGGAGGATTTATGGGATTTATGGAACGAGCGGAATTTATTACGAGTTGGAATATTTAATGTGTTTGTGAATATGGTATTTTGGAAATTTGATAATAATCGAGGTTCGAAGAAGAGTCGAGAAATGAGTAGAAAAGTTTGAACATTTATAAATTCTGATAATCATACGTTTTGTTTTCAATTCAAATGTTGTTTGGGAAATTTTTCATAATTCGAAACAATTGATTGGAAAATTAAAGAATTTCAACGTAATTCGACTCAAGCTTTTTGAAAACCGAAGAGCAAGCCGGATAAAAAAAATATTCAAAATGTTTAGAATGTAAAATTGGAATGGAAAATCGGTGATAATCCAAAGGGTTTCGTAATCTCTTTCGTTCTTTGAAATCTTATTGTTGTACGTCATCAATCACAATTTAAGAACAAGAAGCGTGCATTATTGTTGACACTAAGATACTGTTCATATAATTATCGCGTGTACCGTGGATCCTTACAGTGTGTACACAGCAATAAATCATATTTTTTTTTTCACAATATCACAGATACGTCGTGTTCCTGGTAGCCGAGAAAGAAACAAAAATTCTTCTACCGCCATTATCTTTGATTGATATCTCCAAACAACTCTCGCTAAGTTTCTTGCTACCATTATTCCATTCCCATTATACACTACTCAGAACGGTTAGAGCGACGTTTTTTACCAGGGGAAAAGTAATCAGTTGCCCCCATAATCCTTTTGGAACGATCCTCACCATCGGTTGATTTCATCAGTTGTGTATTTTAGTAGACGTCAAAGTCGTCTCTGTTATAATACGTTTTCACTACTATCCTACTTCCTCCATTTACTAAATTTTTCATTCCAATTCCACGGATTTTTACATTATTCAGATTTATCAAATCTTTCTTAAAAGAACTTTCTATTACGCGTCTTGCGTAATTAATTATTCTTCTTCAGATTTCATTCAAGAAATTTTTCCACGTTCCAAATTTCTCTAAAAATTCCCGAAATTACTACAAGATTATATCTATTCTACTCAATTATCTACCCCCTTTTTAAAAAAAAAATTCACGCGAGATACGAAAAGAAACAAAGATATTTCTCGATGGTTTTCCTTCCAAAGAAGAGATGGAATAAAAAAAAAAAATTAGAATTGGAAGTCCCGACGAATTCTATTAAGTGGTCCCCGACGATTACTTGGACAATGAATAGCACGATCCTCGAACGAGCATTCTTCCCTTCGTCCCAAGTATCAGGTATACGTGAAATCCGGCGAGTCATCGTACGCAGCAAAATCTTCCTCCTCCTCCTTTTCCTCCTCCACCTTCACCTCCTCCTTCTCCTCCACCTCCTTCTCCTCCTTCTCTTCCTCCTTCATTTCTCCTTGGTTCGTGGCCACAAGTGGCTACACGAGAATGGACGTACGTACGTACGTACGACGTACCGTTTCGCCTTCGCGAAAGAATGTTGGAAGACGATGGGATTCTCATCGTTGGATGGAAAATTTTGTCTCTCTCTCTCTCTCTCCCCCTTCCCCGATCGTATTATATAAAAGAAAATTTTTATGAATTTTTAATTAAATTTCTTTTCAATTAAATTTAACTTTGAAAAGAGATTTGATTTATCGCGTTTTAACCAAGTGTGTTCGGGTTAGAAAAAAATCCAAATAAATTTGCGTTATGTTAGATATCATAACCGATGCTAGTAAACGGTTTAACGCCTGTTTGTTTGCATTTGCCTCTTATTTTTATGGGCAATAAAATGCTACGTGCGCAAGCCAGTAGTAATAAATCATTGTAATTAATGCGAGCTTGGAAAAAAACAATAATCGAATTATCTGAATCCTTAAACGGAAAATTAACTTAAGGAATGTAAATAATTGAATGGGCGTGATAAGAACAATTAATTTATAAAAAAAAAGAAAAAGAAAGAAACGTACGTACGTATTTCTAAAACATTAAAAAGCGAAACAATTTCTATCCATTAATTTATACATAATTTCAGACACAATTTGTAAATCATGATATATATATGTATATTGCAAATCGAGTTACGAGAGAAATTTATTCTATGCTCGATCAGATTAATCAAATTTTTCGATCGTTCGTTTTTATTCAAAATAAAAAAAAAGAAGAAAAAATAAAGAGAGAGAAAAAAAAATGTCAAATTCTCGAGAAGCAACGACTCGAATTCCATCCCATTACCGTGAATCGTGAACGAGATCAAGCGTAATAATTCCACGGGAGGATTTGGGGGATAACGTCCCCCTTCCAGGTTCCTCTCCTGGAACCTCCCAAAGGGCGCCCATTAGATATTTAGGGCGAGCCAAAAGTTTTCACGCGCGATGATCTTTTCCCATTGTGGAACAACGCCACGCAAATAACGGCCTTTTCGTCCTCCTACAGAGTTTCACTTTTAAGCAACAGGTATAATATTATTGTCAGGTTAAAAACCTGCGGCCAGGTGACAGTGAAGATCTTTTCTCGGGGCTTCTCGGCGAGGAGTGGCCTGAGAGATACGATATACACATCACCTTAAACCCGATAAGCCATTGGAATTCGTTTAGAAATGGGGCCCTGGACTGACGTCATATCGATGCTGGATCTACAAGTTCTTGTATTTTATTTTAAAGGTCTTCTGCTCTTTATCTTTGCTCCTCCGGTTAATGGAAATTTAATATTGAGGATTGATTTTTATTTATCGACACGAGATATTCGTAACGAAAATGTTTTTTTTTTTTTTTTTTTTTTT